AACTCAGAATGTAACTCAAGCTTAGTCAGTCAGCGGACAGGCTCCTCAGGAAAAGAGCCATGTGACAGCAGTGACTGTAGCAAAACTTCTAGTCAGGCCATTCCAATTATGGAACTCACACGAAGCCAGGTACAGGATAAGCCCTACAAATGTACAGACTGTGGGAAGTCATTTAACCACAACGCGCATCTCACAGTGCATAAGAGGATTCACACGGGAGAAAGACCTTATATGTGCAAAGAATGTGGGAAAGCCTTCAGCCAGAACTCCTCCCTGGTTCAGCATGAGCGAATCCACACAGGAGACAAGCCCTATAAATGTGCCGAGTGTGGGAAGTCTTTCTGCCATAGCACACACCTTACAGTCCATCGGAGAATTCACACCGGAGAGAAACCCTATGAATGTCAGGACTGTGGGCGGGCCTTCAACCAGAATTCATCCCTGGGTCGGCACAAGCGGACACACACTGGAGAGAAGCCGTACACGTGTAGCGTGTGTGGGAAATCGTTCTCACGGACCACTTGCCTGTTCCTGCATCTGAGGACGCACACAGAGGAGAGGCCCTATGAGTGCAACCACTGTGGGAAGGGCTTCAGGCACAGCTCCTCTCTGGCCCAGCATCAGCGAAAGCATGCTGGGGAGAAGCCCTACGAGTGCCGCCAGAGGCTAATCTTTGAGCAGACACCAGCTCTAACAAAGCATGAATGGACAGAAGCCCTCGGCTGTGACCCACCTTTGAATCTGGATGAGAGAGCTCACCGGAGCGACAGGCCTTTTAAGTGTAATCATTGTGGGAAATGTTTTATTCAGAGCTCACACCTCATCCGACACCAGATAACTCACACCAGAGAGGAGCCCCAGGGACGGAACCGGCGACGGCTTGAGCAGTCCTTTGGCCGGAGCTCACACCTTGGCCGCCATCAGCACACACACTCAAGTGAGAACCCTGGGGGCGGGACAAAGGCAGGACAGCCTGCGAGCCGGGCGCTTGCCCTGTTTGACATCCATGAAATCATGCAAGAGAAAAACCCAGTTCACGTTATTGGGGTTGAAGAGTCTTCCATGGGTGCTTCCGTGTTATTCGACATAAGAGAATCCTCATAGGAGAGAAACTACAGATGACTTTTGAACCACAGGTACAAAAATGTGGTAAGTCCACATAGTGCATTCATGGAAAGGGGGACTGGGGGTAGAAATGCCTAAGGTGACCTCTGATTTCATAAGGAAATGGTGCTTTCCAAATACCTGAGATTGATGGTTCTCAAATCTGTCAAGCTCAGTGCCCCCCTTTAACCACAGGTGTTTTGTGCTATTCCTTCTATTACTCTGAAATGAATTTACAGGTAATGTAACCTACACACATGTGTACTGTAAAAAAATCAATATATGGCCCCTTTTTGTAAAGCATAATTAAAACAAAAGTAATTTATGGTAAAGTAATGTGTATACTAAGTGGGTGTGGTATCTCTCCATGTGACTGTGTGAGCCATTATGCCTGGACACCTGGGGCATTGGCTGTTGTCATCTGGTATATGGGAAATAGTGTTGGCCATGGAAATATTGTGAGGGGCATTCCTGTATGAGATGTGATTTTCTCAAGTGGTGACTAACTCTTGCAAAAGTTTTGAACAAAACAGAAGACCGCTGCATTTCTGGAAAATTCTGTATAAAATTCTAAGCATGCAGGAGTTAATTTGTGTTTATATGTGAAGTTGACTTAGGCTCTCAGTTCATACATTACAAACTGGTTGTTTCACACATACATACATACATGGTCCACAGGGGCCTGTTCTGCACTTCACAGTCATTAGAGCACACTTGGCCCCCACCCACATGTCAGCCACATTCATGTCCAGATCAAATGACAAGAAAGCCCCCATGAAATTCTACTACATTCCCTGGGAGTGTCACAGCTTCTACTGAAAGCCATTGCCTTGAAGTGGTTAGTGTTGCTTAAGCCAGAGGTTCTCAGTTGGGGTAGATTTGTCCTCCAGGAGACATTTGTGATGTTTAGAGACATTTTTGGTTGTCATAACGGGCAAAACAGAGGGGTGCCACTTGGCAGCTAGTGGGTAGAGGATGCTGCTAAGCATCCTATAATGCCCAAGACAGCCCCCTCAACAAAGAATTATCTAGCCACAAATATGCCAGGGTAGAGAAACCATACCCAGCACTACAACCAATTTTTTCCAGAAAGATTCTAAATTGATGAGGGCTATGCTAACAGTCCTATAGCTTTGATTGTAACAAATGATATCATTAACTGTTTTATACACAAATGTTTCCTAGTAATTTTTTTGACCATTTTGCAGCATTCCTAATTGGTGTGAGAAAAGGAAGACAATCTACTTATTTTTCTGAGTAATCTAAATTTTAGCATTTTATCATGGACATTGTAAAACATGGATAAGCCCCACTTTTGACCATTCCTCCTGCCTGCCCTGTGGGGTGCAGATTTGGGAGTGTTCCACCTATCAGTGCCCTCTGGGGAGGGGACACCCAGTAACTTCCTGGTTCTAGACAGCTCTAGAAGCCAGGCTTACAGTGCCCCTTTCCCTCCTCCTCAGCCCCCAAAATGGCAGCTTCTGAAGGGTCTTGTTTCCACAGTCTCAGTATTTGCTGGGTGGGCTGAGGTTACAGTGGCCTCAGTGGGTAAGCTGGGAACAAGCTCGTCGCTTGCCTTCCTCTCCGGACAACAGAGATCTTTACAAATTTTCTATTTCTCATTTCAGGTCATGTTTTCTAGGCATAATATTCCTACTCATTTCCTTATAGATATTCTGAAACAGTCAGATAAACTCCTCAGGAGAGGTTACTATTAACCACAGAATACATGGTTTTATCGGTTTATAAAAGTAATGTAAATTCTTTACTGCAAATGTGGAAAATGCACAGAAGTAAAATTTAATTCCTCATACATCTATTCAGAGATGGTCACTACCATTAAGATTTTGTTAATTTTCCTGTAATTTTTTCTTAAAAATATATATGTATACATATAGTGTACACTAGATCTTATACACACACACAAATATATAGTATTGTGTTTAGAGAATTGGAATTCTTTCTAGTTCTCTTGTAACACATGCTTCTTACTATATTTTGAGCATCTTCCTCTGACAATTTCATGTAGGTTTTTAAATTACCTTTCAGGAGGATTGTAGCAGTGTGACCACCTAGCATTTTATCAGCCTTGACTTTTATCCAAAAGGGTGGTGGTAGGGGGGAAGGTTTCCTACACATTTTCAAGGGGAGTATAAATTGATACGGCCTCTGTGAAGGACGATTTATTAGTTGCTATCTAAGATTAGAAACACACAACTCTTTGTCTCAGTAAACGTGTTGCTGGGAGTGAATCCAACAGATTTATTTGTATGTTGTAGACTGTTTGTACATGGTCTCACTATGGTATTGCTTTCAGAAGTAAAAATTTGTAAACAACCTCAGTGTCCACCATGGGGAACTCGGCTAGAGATTTACACTGGAATGGAGAACTACACAGCTTTAAAAATGGGGACTGTCTTTATGTAATAATATGGGAAAGAGCTCCAAGATACATTGTTAAATGAAGAGGTATAAAACAGTGTGTAAAGTATGTTTCTATTTGTGTAAAAAAACATTGGCTTATACACACATACACACACACTCCTAAGGGTACAAAGTAACCAGGCATACTAGGTGCTATTGGGGAGGAGAACTGGGGGGAGAGGGATGAGGAATAATTTTCACTCTATATCTTTTGATATTTTTAGAATTTTGAAACATGTAGAAGTATTACCAGTTCATAAAATAAATTAAAAATCTCAACTGTTGCAAATTAAAGTAAGTTTGATCATTGGCTTCATTTTCTGTTGCACCTACACACACACTAAATTCTTAGGCACACTAAGCTACAAACTAACTCAGTGCACACATATCTGAGCATTGAGTTAATGGAACCAGTTAAGTGTAAAATAGCTTTGACTCCATCAATTTTCCCGCAAGCTATAAACTAGCACATACATTTTAGTAGCACATAAATTTTCAAGTTATTTTATTAAATTCCCTGTATCCAGCCCAAATTATGAGAGCCCATACATGAATGAGCCAAGTTGCCCATTTTCAGTATCTCCTTGTACATCTTCAGAGATATTCACGTCGTTTGTGCAAAAGGTAACTGGGAAGAAATCTCCATCCAGTCTGAGGAAGTCTCCTATAGATCTCTTGTAAGGAGATCCAAGGTGAACATCTTCCAGATGTTCTAAGTTGTCCAACGTTGGTAGTCACTAACCACATGTAGCTATTTAAATGTAATTTTAAATTCACCCAAAATTAAAATAAAAATTGAGTTCCTCAATCACATCAACCACATTTCAACTGCTCACTAGTTACAAATAGAACATCCCCCTCATCTCTAGAAAGTTGTTTTGCACAATGCTGGTCGAAGGTAAGTGGTTGAGAGGATTTTTTTAAATTTCCCTTGTGATCAACTGACTAAAGAGCAGAGAAGGCCAGCCTGCACATCAGGAGTCAGCAGGGTGCAGTGCGTGGTTTTTTATTTGGGCTTGAGTAAAAGATGAAAACAAAAAGGTACGTACTACGTCATTGGGAGAAATTAGCATATACACTACGGAGTAGGTAATCGTGGGTTTCAACGTCGTTTCTTGGGTAGGCGGAAGAATGTACTGGTTCTTAGAGGACATCTGCTGAAACGTTACAGGAAAACGGGGTTCAGGGGAGAAAAGTCCCCAAACTATAGAGACACGTATGGACGTACGTGTGTGCGAAAAGAAAAAAGTACGCTGTATGTTTACCTAGCCCACGCGAGTCGACATCCGTCTGGTCCCGCACGCCAGCGGCGCAGAGCAACCAAGTTCCCACGACCCCTTCCCCGCGCCGTCGCCCTGTGGACTTCATTTCCCAGAAGACCATTCGTCCTGCGCCCGGCCGGTTCCGGGCACGCAGCGGGCAGGGCCCTCTGGGAGATAAAGCCCCGAACTCAGCGTTCGGGCCATCGGCGGAAACGCGGACCGGAAGTGCCTGTGGCGAGTGTGTGCGCTTCGGCGGCTGGCGGCGCTGCCGCCCGGCTCTGTGAGGGGTCGGCGTGGTGGTGAGTCCGCCGTTCCGGCCTGAGGGCTTATGTGAGTGTGAGGGACGACGAGGCCCGTGTGTGCATGCGGTGGTAGTGACTGAGTGGCCGGGTGGGGCCCGGAGGGCAGCGCGGACCCAGGGATGGGGGGCGGGGAGAAAGGAGGGACCGTGGGCGCTTGCGCGTGCCGGAGGACGTGAAGGAGAGAGCTGTGCGTGCCCGTGGGGCCTCAGCTGAGTGTGGCAGAATGTGACACTGCACGTGTGCGTGTCAGAGAGGAGGGGTGTTTTGCAGGTGAGGTACCACCTGCGTGTGCGTAGGAGACCTCAGGTGTGTGTGGGGACCCGGTGCGTCAGCGTTTGTGTGTGCAGGGGTAACCTCAGGCGTGTGCATGTGGTTGAGTGTGTCACCACGTGTGCGTTTCGGAGGGAAAGGGTGTCCTGCTGGCGAGACACCACTTGTGTGTGCAGATGAGACAGCAGGTGTGTGTGGCAGGGCCTCTGTGTGCAGATGTGACCTCGGTATGTGCCTTTGACCGGATGTGTTACCACTGTGCATGTCCAAAGGAAGGAGGGTATTGCATTTTGACAGCATTTGCGTGTGCAGATGAGACCTCAGGTGCGTGTGAGTGGTCAGGTGTGTCACCATGCATGTTTGTGGGGAAGGGATGTTTTGTGTGTGTGACACCCCCTCTGTGTCTGTAGGTGTGACCGCAGGTGTGTACCTATGGCCTCTGCCCTTTAGCCATCACTCCCATTCCCCTTTTCTCCAGCCCCTGGCAACCATTAATCTACTTTCCGTTGATCAGTCTGTCTCTGTTCTGGACATGCGATGTAGGTGGGATCATACAACAGGTGGCTTTTTTGTGTCTGGCTTCTTCCACTGAACATAATGTTTTTAAAGCCCATGTTGTGCCATGTATCAGTACTTCACTCATTTTTATAGCTGAATAGTAAGCCGTCGTGTGGATATACCACAGTGTGTTTACCCAGATAGTGCTACTGTGAACACTCACATACAGGTCTTTGTGTGGACATGTGTTTTCAGTTTGGAGGAAGGAGGTAGTTGGGTCTGTCCCAGGGAAGCTCATGTGTATGACCACACCTGCTCCCTGTTGCCTTTGCTCATCCAGCAGTATTTCATTTTCCAGAATCCCAGCCCTGAGCCCCGAAGTGAAAGCCAGGAGCCTGACCGCTGTATGGGAGTAGATGGGAGGAGGCAGTGGCTCTGGGAACTGGAATCCTTCCCTGCAAGACTCACCCACAACCTGGGATCTCTGTCTGGGACTGAGACCACATGCCCCCTATCCTGTAGCTGCTGAGGTCAAACAGCCCAAAGACAGAGCAGAGTGGCAGGCAATGGAGCCTGAGGAGCCAGGTGAGGCACATGTCAGGGTGGTGGTCATAGGGCTGGACATTTTCAGAAACCAGATTTTCCTCAGAACAGGCCCTGCTCCTGCTGCCTTCGCTCTAGTGCCCTGCCATCCTCAGCCTAGTCCAGACTACCGCCTCTTCACAGGTCTCCTGCTTCCCCGTCCTCCCACCATTGCTATCCACACTGCACCGGAGGGGTCTTTAAACCCTGAATGGTGAGGCTACCTCTCCCTGAAACCTTCCATCCCTGCCCTGGTTGTCACAGCGGGGTTGGCAGACTCTCCCTGTAAAGCACCAGGTAGCAAATGTTTTCAGCTTTGTAGGCCAAGAGGCAAAACCAAAGATGTCAGGTAGATGCTTACCTAACAAGAGAGAGAACACATACCCACATATTTTTTTCCCCAATGAAATCCAGAACTTTATCCAACGCTGAAATCTGAATTTCATGTAACATTAATCTTCTGATGATTTTTCCCTCCCAACCTCTTAAAAATGGAGAAACTCTTCTTAGCTCAGTCTGTACAGAAATAGGCAGTGGGGCTGAGTTTGCTGACCCCTGATGTGATCAAATCCACACTTCTTCCCATGCCTTCTGGGCCCAGCATGACCTGATTTCTGCCTGTTTTCAGGCCTCACCCTACAGCTCTCCCTTTGCTCAGCCCTGCTGGCCACTGAATAGCATTTAAGCTTAGATATTACCTCAGAGGCCCTCCCTGGCCACCTGATTCAAAACAGGTGCCACACACATCTACATTATGTTTTTTAGCACTTAACCACATTCGAAGACTTTATACTTGTTCCCATTTATCATAGACTATGAGTTTCATGATGTGGTGCACAGTCCATGGAGTATCTGTTAAATGAATGAGTGAACAGACACCCTTCTGCAAAAGGTACTGTTACCCAGTTTTACAGATAGAAAACCCAGGCCTTAGGTGAATTGAGCAACCCAAGGTCACTCAGCAGAGTGGTAAGGTGGATTTGATCCTAGGTCTGACAGACTCCACTTATCCCTCACGTTCACTGTTTGACCCTAGGAATGACACTGGGAAGAAGGTATGGGCACTTGGTACATCAGGGCCCCAGGGATCAGCTTGCCACTCTTGCCCCTGTGGGGAGGGGCAAAAAGCCCCACATCAGCCCTTCACTCCTGGGAGTATCATAGGATCTGAATTCAGGACAGCTGAGACCGTTGCTTTTCCCTCAGAGCACTTGCCTACCTGGTATCTCACTTTGTCCCCAAACCGTCCTGCTGCCAGTGATGTCCGTAAACCTGATAGCATGGGGCAGAGACTGTTACACAGCATATCATTTACTTTGTATGAAGTTCAAGAATAGGCACAACTTGTGTGCTGTCAGAATCTCAGCAGCAGTCACACCGGGGCCAGGGAGAGCCTTGCCTGGAAGGGGTGCCTGTCGGGAGCTGTCCGTGGTGCTGAAAGTCCCAGTGCTGAGGTGTCCGAAAGGTAGCTAAGAGCCACGTGGAGATATTAAAATGTGAATCAGTTAAACTTCAAATTACACATCCAGTTTCTCAGTCACACCACCTGTGTTTCTACTGTTCGGGAGCCACATGGAGCTGATGGCTGATGAATTGGACAGCACAGCTCCAGAACATTTCCATCCTCACAGAAAGTTCTAGAGCTTGATCTGGACAGTGGCTGTGTAGGTGTGTGCATTGGTCAAAACTCATTGAACTGAGCACTCATACCTCTATTAAAAAGACATATTTTTGAAAGCACAGACTCAAGTCTGACTGTGTGGGTTCAGATCCCAACCCATCACATGCTTCATATCTTTGATTTAACCTCTCTCTGGCCCCCTCTCCCTACCTGTATAACAGAGTGATGATAGTACCTCTTTTTCCTTGTTAGGGAACTTGGCCAGAATTGCACAGCAAGTCCTTGAGAAGTTTGTGCCCTGGGGTTGGCATTGAGTTGCAACACAGGCAGCTGCAGCTGCCCTCGGGGACTCGGCCTCGGCTCATGGATAGTTCCCTGTTTTAGAGGCAGGGGTCTGAGGCCCAGCCTCCAAGTATCAAATCATAGGGCTGCTTTTCGTGGATCCCTGGGCTCAGTGACCCCCTGCCCAGCGTGGGAGCCAGGACGGGATGGAGGATGTAAAGGTGGTGTGGCTTCTGGCAGCAAGGACACCATGAGGTGTTCCTTTGTTAGGTTTCATTTTACAAAGACTTTCTAAGACATAATGCCATCTGTTCTCCCAGGAGCCTGTCCTTTCTGTACCCAGGAAGAAATAGGCCTAGAGCAATGATATGGCCAGTTAGTGGCACACAGTGGACCTGTGGGTCCAGGATTTCCTACTCCAAGTATTTGTCATCCTCTGGGTCACCCTGGATCCATGGTGGCTGTGTAGACCCCTTTACGAGAGTCCAGGTGGGCTGTCACATCCCCAGACTAATTCTGGGGGGTGTGGGTCACCCCATCTGTCTATGTGGACACAGCCTTCTCCACAAGACTCACTATCTTGGCTGGTCAGGGGTGGGGACAAGAGTGGGAGTGCTTCCATGCAAAAACTCAACTCAGGCAAGCATCTTACCCCTTGATGCCTCAGTTTCCTTCCTGTAAAATGGGTCCGGTAGTGTTGGTCCTAACTATCCCTCATAGGGACAGAATGAGGATCAAGCATCATGACTGGCACATAGTAAATGTTGAGGGCTGTGGTTCTGCCAAGCCCTGGAGGATAAGCAGGAGAGAGCAGACCCAGGGTGAGCAGTGCAGGAGGAAACACCTGTGGGAGGGTTTGGACTGGGAGGGTCAGGGCCCCTGGGAAAGAGTCTAGTGGCTGGCAAGGGGAGGGATGTGAGGTGAGGGGACTTTGGGGCTTGGGTCTCTGGGGCCTGAGGGCAGATCTGGCCTCCCTCACATCCCCTCCCCTCCCCCAGCTCTTCCTTCTCAGGGGAGCATCAAGGAAGACAAGCCCAAGGCCCAAGATACTGCATTCCCAGCAGATGCCTTCCACGTGAGTTTCCAAAAATGCCAGCAGTCTCAGCAGGCATACTCCTTTCTGTTCTTGCTTCTGTGATGCTTCTACCCCTCGCAACTGGAATGGAGCCACAGCCCTTAAGGAGCATGAGTCCTGGGGCAGGGCCCCTTCCTCTGCCCTGGCCACTCTTCTTCCTCTTCCTCTTCTTCCTTCTCCCTTCACTCAAGGGTGGGGCTTAGTGACCCTGTCGGTCTAGGGCACCTTGGAGGAGATCCCATGCCTGACCGATCTGGGACACAGCTCTTTATGGTCACCCTGTTTCTCAGCCAATATCCAGGAAAAGGACAGAGCAGGGCCTGGCATATGAGTGAATGGTGGTACTGAGCAGCATTTAGCAAGGTGGTTGGGGGCTTTGGGTGTTAATGGTAAGTAGTTACTCTGAAATTGATGGTGCCTGCTGACAGGCCCTTTCTTCATGGGGTCCCCAAGGAGACAGCCACACACAGGCAGAGGGATTGTTGCCACAGCCTTGGGGTGCTGCTGTGGGGCAAAAACTCCGTGTTGGGGACACTTCCTGGTCCCAGAGCACATGTGGCTGGTGTTGCATGCCATCACATCCTCCAAGCCTCCCCTGCCCAGCCCTAAAGGGGAGGCGGACCACGCAGGTGTGACAGATGGCTTTGTGGGGGGCTGACGGGCCATCCGGCTGTCTCTGGGGGCCATAAAGCTGAGTGCTTTGGGAAGTGATGAGGAATCATTGTGTCTTAATCTGCTCAGGCTCCTATAGCAAAATACCGTGAACTGTGGCTTAATCAACAGTTTATTCCTCACAGTTTTGGAGACTGGAAGTCCCAAGACAAGGGTGCCAGCAGGGCTGGGTTCTGGTGAGAGCCCTCTTCCTGGCTTGCCGACAAACTGCCTTCTCTCTGTGTCCTCACACACTGGGCAAGGAGACGAGAGCACACGTGCTTTGGTCTCTCCCTCTTCTTTTTTTTTTTAAGATTTTATTTATTTTTATTTGTCAGAGAGAGCGAGAACACATAAGCAGGGGAAGCAGCAGACAGAGGGAGAAGCAGGCTCCCGACTGAGCAAGGAGCCCGATGCGGGACTCCATCCCAGGACCCTGGGATCACGACCTGAGCCGAAGGCAGAGGCCTAACCAATGAGCCACCTGGGTGTCCCCTGGTCTCTCCTTCTTATGAGGGCACTAGTCCCATCTGGGGCCCCATCCTCATGACCTCATCTAAACCTAATCCCCCCAAAGGCCCCACTTCTAAATACCTTCACACTGAGGGGTAAAGCTTTAACAGGAATTTGGAGAAGACACAATTATTCAGGTGGGACTGCAGTACCCAGTGTCAAGGTGATGATAATGCCACTCACAGTGTGAGCCACACCCTTCCCCCCATGACAATAGGGTGTTTCCCAGAACATTCACATCCTGCTGTTCCCCATGGGGCTGGCCCTGCTCAGAGAGGGCCCATGGCTGAGCCAACGCATGTGGGATGTTTCAGAAGCCTGTGACATTTCAGGACGTGGCTGTAGACTTCACACAGGAGGAATGGGGGCTGCTGGGCCCCACACAGAGGATCCTCTACCGTGACGTGATGCTGAGGAACTACAGCAACTTGGTGTCCCTGGGTGAGACCTTCCTGTCACCTCTTCATCCATGTCCCGTGTGTGTGTGTTTCCATGTGTGCTCACACATACACGTGCATATTTATCCCCTGCCTTGTCACCAGTAACCCACACCCAGGTATGTCCTTGCTCTGACCTGTGTCCCCCAGTTGGGTCCCCTCTGTGCAGAGTGGACACCCCACCCCACGTCACCAGAGAGAGACCTCTCCCGTGCCTGGGGCACACATACTGCACTATTGGGCCTGTTGGAGCGTGGCTGCCTGTGGGAACAGTGTCAGCATTTCCCTCCTACTTTCTAACTATGGGCAGGACTTCCCGATTGCAAACCAGATGTGATCTCCAAGCTGGAGCAGTGGGAAGACCCCTGGACTGTGAAGAGAGATGTCCCAAGAGGTCCAGGTGAGTGAAGTAAGGGTCTGTCAGATCAGGTGTTTTATAAAATTAATCGTCCTCCCCCCAGCTTTTCTTGAGGTATAATTGACAGATAAAAATTGTATGTATTTAAAGTGTACAACATGGTGTTTTGATACACATGTACATTATGAAATGATCACCACTATCAAGCTAATTTATCGATCCATCAGCTCACATAGTTGCAATATTTTTTCTGTGGTGAGAACGCTTACAATCAACTCCTGTAGGAAATTTGAGGTGTGCAATACAGTATTGTAACTATAGTCACCATGCTTCAGATCAGCTTATTTCTCCTCCTGGGGCAAGGCGGTGCAATGTACATCCAACAGAAAAGAGCTGGTAGGTACAGGAGCCTGAAAACAAACCCAACAGTCCTCCAGTGGTCACTTCCCTAGACTCGACAGCCACTAATCTGCCTTCTGTCTCTATGATTTGCCTGTTCTGACCTTTCATGTAAATGTAGTTTATATAAATGTATTCATTTATTTTTCATATGGATACAGGCATACTGTCTGTGGTCTTTTTGTGTCTGGCTTCTACCCTCTGGGAATAGTGCTCTATGAACACTCCTGAGCAGGTTTTTGTGTGAGTATCTGTTTTCCATTCTGTTGACCAGGCCCTGTCGCGGTAAGGGCGTGGTTGTAAAACAACCCCAGTGGCAGCTGACAGGTGGGGTGGCTCTCGGTGGCCTTGGCCCATGCCTTTCTGTGTTCCATGCTACCACTTTCCTTCCCCACTGTGCAGAAGAGGCTTGACAGCAGGCCTGTGGCCGCCATTCTTGGAAAGCCTGGTGCAGGGTTGGCCTTTAGCCAATGTGGGAGGATTCCCACCATTCCTTAAATGATTAAGACCGGCTCACTGCACCTAAACCATTTGTACAAACAATGTGGTTTATACTGAATGCCTGCTTTTCTTCTGGGAGTCTGGAATTTTGGTACATGCTACACAGTGGGTGCGTACGTGGCCAGCCCCCAGTAAAACCCTGGTCACTGAGTCTCTAACAAACTGTAGACTACACTTCATGTGTCGGAATCCAGCTCTGGAGGGGTTTGGTGCACGCTGTGTGGCTCCACTGGGAGAGGACTCTGCCCCCTGCGCCTTTTCCCTTTGCTGATTTTGCCTGGAGTCCTTTTGCTCTAATCAGTCACAGCCATGAGTATGACTCTTTGTTGAGTCCTTTTTTTTTTTTTAAAAGATTAGATTTTACTTATTTGACAGAGAGAGAGACAGCGAGAGAGGGAACACAAGCAGGGGGAGTGGGAGAGGGAGAAGCAGGCTTCCCGCGGAGCAGGGAGCCCGATGCGGGGCTCGATCCCAGGACCCTGGGATCATGACCTGAGCCGAAGGCAGACGCTTAACCACTGAGCCACCCAGGCACCCCTCGAGTCCCGTAAGTCGTAGAGAATCACCAAGCCTGCAGTGGTCTTCTGGACCCTGGTCCATTCACTCTTCTGTCCTCAGCTGCAGGACTCCCACTGAAAGCCGCAGGTCTTTGTTGTCCAGTCTGACTGCTGAGGTTCTGTCCATCCCCCTCAGATTGGCAGTGCACATTCAGGTTAGGGCTTTAGCATGTTTCTTTGCTTATTTTTCAGACTCAGAGCCTGAGCCCCGAGCTGCATGGCTGCCTCTAGAGAAGGGTGCTCTGTCTCAGGGGCAGATGACAGTGGGACTCTCAGGGCAGGATTTCTGGCACACCATCCAGAAAGAAGTCACAGAACATGAAGGCCAGGTGGCAGAGAGACAATGCCAAGCAGTGACACTCAGCCAGGGGAAGAAGAGCCCAGAGTGGAGCTTTGCAGGAACTTTCTCCTGGCACCCATTCTTCACTGAGCATCAGTGCAATCCTCCAAGGGCTCAAGCTCCCACAAGCCACGTTGGCAAAAAGGGCCTCACCTGCATTTCAGTCCTAGACCAGGGGCACCCCTGCCAAGAAGAGAGACTGTGTATGGAAGCCCTCAGCTCTCTTCCAGACCTTAGTCACCCTCAAGGAGCTCCCATTGCGGGGGACACATTGGTGTGTGGTGGGTGGGGAGATGCCTTTGGCAAGAACACATGCCTTGTGGGCTGCCAACAGATTCCCGATAAACGGAAGCCCTACCCATGCGAGGAGTGTGGGAAGGCCTTTGGACAGAGCACACATCTCGTTCAACACCAGAGAACCCACACGGGTGAGAAGCCGCACACGTGCCAGGAGTGTGGACGGGCCTTCAGCAAGAACTCGTCCCTGGTTAAGCACCAGCGCATCCACACAGGCGAGAGGCCCTATGTGTGCAGCCACTGCAGCAAGCACTTCCGAGAGCACTCCTCCCTGGCCAGGCACCAGCGGGTGCACACGGGCGAGAAGCCGTACACCTGTGGAGAGTGTGGGCGCGCCTTCAGCCAGAGCACTCACCTCCTGCAGCACCAGCGAGTCCACACTGGGGAGAAGCCGTTCGCCTGTGGTGAGTGTGGCAGAGCCTTTGCCGACTCCTCAGCCCTCCTGGTCCACCACAGAAGCCACACGGGAGAGAGGCCGTATGAGTGCTGCACGTGCTGCAAGGCGTTCAGCCTCAGCTCCTCGCTGGCCGAGCACGAACGCTGCCACACAGGAGAGAAGCCGTACGCGTGCCGGCAATGTGGGAAAGCCTTCAGCCAGAGCTCCTCCCTCAGCAAGCACCTGAGGACACACACGGGTGAGAAGCCGTACGCGTGCGGGCACTGTGGCCGTGCTTTCAGCCAGAGCTCCTCCCTGGCCAAGCACCAGCGGGTGCACACGGGCGAGCGGCCCTACGCGTGTGGGGAGTGCGGGAAGACCTTCAGCCAGGGCTCCTACCTGAGCCAGCACCTCAAGATCCACAGCGGCGAGAAGCCATTCATATGCGGTGAGTGCAGGAAACCCTTCGGCGATTCTTCAGCCCTAGTCCTGCACCAGCGGGTGCACACGGGCGAGCGGCCCTACGCGTGTGGGGAGTGCGGGAAGACCTTCAGCCAGAGCAAGTTCCTCACCCAGCACGAGAGGATCCACACTGGGGAGAAGCCCTTTGTGTGTGGCGACTGTGGAAGGGCCTTCGCGCAGAGCTCCTCCCTCACCCTCCACCGCAGGACACACACTGGGGAGAAGCCTTACACGTGCGACGAGTGCGGCAAGGCTTACACCCAGGTGTCGCACCTCACTGAGCATTACCGGGTGCACACGGGGGAGCGGCCCTACGTGTGCAGTGTGTGCAGCAAAGCCTTCAGCCGTGGCACACACCTCATGCAGCACCAGCGTGTCCACGCGGGCGCCAAGCCCTTCATGTGCAGCCTGTGCCGGAGAACCTTCCGCGAGGCTGCGGCCCTCATTCTGCATCAGAGGGTTCACGCTGCACAGAAGCCCTCTGAGTGTCACACATGTGAGAAGGACTTCAGCCAGAGCAGATCTCTGGTCCAGCATCGGAAAATTCATTCCCAGGGGACACCATGAGTGCAGTGAGTAGCAGAAAACCCTCGGCGGCTGTTCGGTTCTCATCCGCCAGTGAACTGGGGGTGTGCCAAGCATGGCAGACACCTGCCTGTCCTTGGTGTGGTGTTCTTCATCCAGCGGAGGGCCCTGTGAGTGTCAGGAACTCGGGGCCAGTGCAGAGCAGCCCCCTTACCCATCATACGCTTCTCTCTGCAGGGTCACCCGGTTGGGTGAGAAAGCCAGAGTGAGCCTTCAAGGGGAGCAACAGCCCCTCCCATTTTCCATCATACAGGTTCCCACAGACATCCACCAGGTGGTAGGAGAGATCCACAGGTGTGGACGGTCTTCTCGGCAGGCCTGAACAGAGCTCATTTCAGTTTTTGCCAAGGCAAAAATGAAATTAAAAAAAAAACAAAAACGTGAAAAGATGCTTTTTCGGGGCACCTGGGTAGCTCAGTCTGTTGAGCGTCCAGTTCTTTGTTTTGGCGCAGGTCGTGATCTCAGGGTTCTGCGAATGAGCCCTGCAGCAGGGAGTCTGCTTCCCTCTCTCTCTCTCCCTCTGCCCCCACCCCCTGCTCGTGCACGCTCTCTAAAATGGGTAAATAAATCTTTTTTTTTTTTAAAGATTTTATTTATTTATTTATTTGAGAGAGAGAGAGAAACAGCATGAGAGGGGATAGGGTCAGAGGGAGAAGCAGGCTCCCTGCTGAGCCGGGAGCCCGATGTGGGACTTGATCCCAGGACTCCGGGATCATGACCTGAGCCGAATGCAGTTGCTTAACCAACTGAGCCACCCAGGCGCCCTAAAATGGGTAAATAAATCTTTAAAAAATAAAAAAAGATGTCTTCTCAGTTGTTTGTGCCTTGTATTAACTCAAGCCTTATGGTTTTGTTTTGTTCCTCTGCCAGAAAGTAAGGTTAATAATGCTGAACTGTGGTGTGTCACAAAGCCGCTGTCTTTTATTTTATTTTATTTATTTGCGAGAGAGAGCACAAGCAGGGGGAGTGGGAGAGGGCGAAGCAGGCTCCCCGCCGAGCAGGGAGCCCGATGCGGGGCTCAATCCCAGGACCCCAGGATCATGACCTGAGCCGAAGGCAGACGCTTAACCATTTGAGCCACCCAGGCGCCCCAGTCCCAGTCTTTAAAAAGACTTTATGTGTCATTCATCAACCTCAGCATGAGGATTCATTAAAATCAGTTGAGCCAGTGACATTCATGTAAGACCTTAGCACTTTGTAAGTACTTCTACACATTGTTCTGTTTCATCCTCTCAGCACCCCCGGGATGCAGATATTTTTATCCCCACTTCATAGACAAGGAGCTGACTTTTTTTTTTTTTAAGGCCTACTTATTTGAGGGGGGAAGGGGTAGAAGAGAGAGAATCCAAGCAGACTCTGCGCTGAGCATGGAGCCTGACGCAGGGCCCGAACTTACAACCCTGAGACCATGACCTGAGCTGAAACCAAGAGTCAGACGCTTAACCAACTGAGCCACCCAGGTGTCCCAAGGAGCTGAGATTTTGAGAGGTTAAACCACTTGCCTGAGGCCCCCAGCTAGAAGCCACTCACTTTTCAAGATAAAAATACTAGAGTTAGCAGATGGAGACAGGGTGGCAACAGTCCCTCCATCCCTTTCAGCATATGCAAGGGGTATTCACTGTAAGGAGGCAGCTCTAGAATTTAATGTTCTCTTGAGACTGGGAGATGGTGGGATGATTGGGTCATGCCTGAAGAAGCGGATTGAGCCATCTGGCTGACCTAGGCAAAGGCAAAAAGTAGGAGCTGGGAAGCCATTGCTCAGTCTAGATGTTGGTTACGTGCCTAGTGGAGCCATTCCTTTGTTCCGTCACAGGTGTGAGCCTTTCACTTTCCCGCACAGCTTCACTCAGGGGTTCTCTGTGGCCATCAGGATGTGGTCTGGCCTTGAAGCCCCTGCACTCACCCAGCATAGCCATCCTTCCAGGTTCATTTCCAGTCATCCCTGTGTTGTCCAGGCCCAGCTTGTTGGTCTCCTGTCCTCAGCATCAGCTCCAGGGCACCTCCTCACTGGCTGAATCGGAAGCAGCCTGTCTTCCCCTCTTGTCCCCCATGGCAGTATGAACATTGTGCTGTCATTGTCCACGTCCTTGTTCAGAGCCCACTCTGGACCCAGAGCCCCTTTAGCATACACCTGTCTCTTGTGCCTCTCTAGACCCATCCCCTGGCACATGGCAGGGCCAAAATTGAGAGGGAATGAGTGCGTGAACCAGTGAGATACTGAATACAAAATGACTGCAAGGGAGTCCCCAAGACCACCTTCAGGCTCAGTGACTCATTAGGACTCCTAGAACTCAGAACAGGCTGAGGGTTTATTACAGTGAAAAGGATACAAATTATAACCACAAAAGTAGAAGGTGGATAAACTGGAATCCAGGTACAAGCTTCCATTTGTCCTCAGTGTAGTCAGACAGACTCCTTAGTACTCCCCACTAGGAGTAACAGTACACATGGAGTATTGGCAGCCAGGGAAGGTGACCCAAGCCTGGTGGCATTTACTGGGGGGTGGCCCCATAGATGTGGAGTGCCTGCATGACTGACCTTAGTTCCTGAGCCTCCAGCTGTCTCAGAGATAAGCTGATAGAGTGTGACTCAAGGTCCCCATCATAAATCATGCAGACTATCTGGCATGGCCTAAGGCCCCCAGTAAGGAAAGACCCTCTCACCAGGCACGCTATTCCAAGGGCTTAGAGGTTCTGTCAGGAGCCGATCCCAAGGGCCAATCCATTCTTTATAGTGTGCAGTTCGGACACCCCAGGTCTACTGAGTTCTCCTCTTTGCTGCACAATGACCCAGCACAGCTGGTGACCAGTGATGCCCCCTCACCCAGCCAAGTGCCACAGCTACGAGCAGCCCCAAAGAGAGAAGAGGCATCAGCCAACCGGACGCAGTATGGGTTGGGATGATCAGGATTCTCCCAGAGGAAGAGACAGCTTGGGTTTGTAGGGACAAGACTGCCTCAGGGGCTGCACCTTCAGGAGAGCATCCCACGTGAGCCGCAGGGACCAGGCTGTGAGGCAGGAAGAACGGGGCAGCTGGTGAGTCTCTGAGGCACCACACGGCACAGATGGGGCAGGCTTGCCATGGGCCACCCACTCAGCCTCTGTAAAAACAGGGACCGTGTTGGGCGCCTGGGTGGCTCAGTCGTTAAGCGTCTGCCTTCGGCTCAGGTCATGATCCCAGCATCCTGGGATCGAGCCCTGGGTCGGGCTTCCTGCTCAGCGGGAGCCTGCTTCTCCCTCTCCCACTCCCCCTGCTTGTGTTCC